CTCCGACTCAAAAAAAAAAAAAAAAAAAAGTCCTGTTCCTTACATACAAAACCCTACTGTGCATTAATGTGTACCCCACTTACCTGGCCTCATCTTGTACCACTCGCCCTTAGTTACTATGCGCTGGCCTTTCTGTTCCTTGAGGCCTTTCTGTTCCTTGAGGTCATTGAGATCCTTACTCTTTAGGGCTTTGGTAACAGCTGTTACCTCTGTCTGAAAAACCCTTCTTAATTGGGGAGAGAGAGGAATGCTCCTTGTAGTTGGGAGCTCAACCCAGAGGTTACCTCCTCAAAGGCAACACTGCATCTAATCTAAAGCAACCCTTACTCAGATCATTGTTTTGTTTTCTTCATCACATTCACTATCCCAAATTATCTTTATACGGTCTGTCTCCACATCCCATTCCCTGCCACACATGCATAAACCTTCCTCCCCAATACCATATGAACTCCCTGAAAGTAGAGACTCTCCTAGTCTGTCTTGTTCGGTTGTAGCTGCAATGTCTACTACTGAAAAGCACATAATAGTTAATAAATCGATTCAATGAATTTAGGGCACAAGGCTTAGAGCAAAAGCATGCATTTGATATGATAGCTATTATTTCCTGTATCCTTTGATCATTCTTTCTAGTTCTGTGGTCTAAAGAAGGGTTACAACATAAAAATTCAGCATATCTCAATTTAAGGGGTCATTTTTATTTCTGGTCACTTCTCTCCTCTTGGTCTTCCTTTCCAACTGAAGAAGAAGAGAGAGGAGGATAGGTAAAAGGTGAGAAAGGAGGAGGAGGGGGAAAAGGTATTGCAGCAGTCAGCCTTCAGTTCATTTTATACCAACTATTTTAGAATAAATTTTCAAAATAGATAATATTCAGTGTTGACAAGTTGTGGAAAAATAGTACACTCATAAACTGCTAATTAAAATAAATGATGATAGCTTGCATTTATTAAGCAGTTAGTAGGTGCTAAATACATGCTTTATTTTATTTGGTCCTCACAGCCCTCTGGGATAGATACTATTATTGTTCCCATTTTATGGATCAAGAAATCGAGGCTTAAGGCCAGATGCAGTGGTTCACACCTGTAATCCCAGCACTTTGGGAGGCCGAAGCAGCCTGTACAACATAGTAAGACCCCATCTCTACAAAAACATATAAAAATTAGCTGGGAATGGTGGGGCCTGCCTGTAGTACCAGCTACTTGGGAGGCTGAGGCAGGAGGATCCCTTGAGCCCAGGCATTAAAGGTTGCAAAGAGCTATGATTGTACCACTGCACTCTAGCATAGGCAACAGAGGGAAACCCTGTCACAAACAAACAACAACAATAAAAAAGAAACTGAGGCCTAAGAAGGTTGAATAACTTGACTATGGAAACAGTATATTGGCACAACTCTTTTTTTAAAGCAATGAAAGTGATATCCCAAAGCCATATTAACATTTATATCCTTTGACTCAGGCCAATCTTGCAAATATATTTTCTAGAGTAACTCAACAGAAGGAAAGAACTATATGCATAAAATGTTCACCACAACATAATCTTAAATAGTAAAAAGTAAAAACATGAATGCCAAACAAGAGAATGTTTAAATCATTTATTGAACATCAACATCCAACTCAAAACAAAAAACAAACAAAAAAAAGAAAATGTTTTCATGGTGTATATAGTAAATTAAAAAGCAGATTATGAAAATGACTATACAATATAATAATCATTTAGAATATATTTATTTGAATAAGGATCAAAAGGGAATAACTCTAAAATGAAAATCGTTAAGATTGTGGGATTATAGGAAGGTTTTTTGTTTGTTTGTTTGTTTTTTGAGTTGGAGTCTCACTCTGTTGCTCAGGCTGGAGTGCAGTGGCACACTCACAGTCACCACAGCCTCGACTTGCTGGGCCCAGGTGATCCTTCCACCTCAGTCTTCCAAGTACCTGGAACTACAGGTGCACTCTACCACACCCAGCTGATTTTTAAAAAATTTATTATAAAGACAAGGTCTCACCAAGTTGCCCAAGCTGGTCTTGAACCCCTGGGCTCAGGAAATCCACTCGCCTCAGCCTCCCAAAGTGCTGAGATTACAGGCTTGAGCCACTGTGCCCAGCCTGGGTTTTTTTGGTTTTTGTTTTAAATTGTTGCTTCAATGTGATTACAGTGCTTTTACTTTTTTTTTTTTTTTTTAGTTGTTTTCTCACTCTGTCACCCAGGCTGGAGTGCAGATGCACACTTACGGCCACCGCAACCTCGACCTGCTGGGCCCAGGTGATCCTTCCTCCTCAGCTTTCCAAGAAGCTGGAACTACAGGTGCATGACACCATGCCTGGCTAATTTTTTGATTTATTGTAGAGATGAGGTCTTGCCAAGTTGCCCAGGCTGGTCTCGAACCCATGGGCTCAGCAATTCTCACATCTTGGTCTCCCAAAGTGCTGGAATTACATGCATGAGCCACTGTGCCTGGCCTACATTTTTTTTTTTTTTTTTTTTGAGTTGGAGTCTCTGTTGCTCAGGCTGGAGTGCAGTGACACACTCACAGCTACCCCAGTGTCGACCTGCTGGGCTCTGGTGATCCTTCTGCCTTAGCCTTCCAAGTAACTGGAACTACAGGTGCATGCTACCACACCCAGCTAATGTTTGATTTATTGTAGAGACAAGCTCTCGCCCAGTTGCCCAGGCTGGTCTTGAACCCCTGGGTTCAGGCAGTCCTCTCCCTTCAGCTTCCCAAAGTGCTGAGATTATAGGTGTGAGCCACCATGCTGGGCCTACTTTTAAAAAATAAATAAGAAAAATACCTATGATAATAGGAAGGAATGCTGAATTAACCATATATGTACTCTGCTAAAGAAAAATCTAATTAAACTTTGGCGAGACCTCATCTCTTACAATAAAAATGTTAAAAATTAGCTGGGTGTGGTGCTGAAAAAAAAATCTAAACTATTGAACTAAAGACACTATACTGATCAATATAAGGCACTTGAAGATATCAAACAAACTTGAGAAATCAATTTTCAGAACTGCTTTAATGAATGGCCAGAAATTTGGAAGACACCTGGTTGATGTCCAGTGGGGATTTGTGGTAACTCTTCTCAGTGTCGTGGTCCACCTTCGCATCCAAGCTTTAAGTTAGCAGCTTTCATCAGTATGGTTTCAAACACCAGTGAGTTTACAGTTCTGACTTTAGGTCTTGTTTTTGTATGTTCTGTGTCTCTTTTGGAGAAGCCACGTTTATGTATCCAGCCTCAGAATTCTGTGAACTCGAAGGAGACTCAGGACACTTTGGGACTGCCATTGCTCTTTTTGACTTATGCTCTTGAGTCTCTTGACAACTTCCAACTGACACTACCAAATCTGTTCCTGAAAAACTGAGAAACGTCATGTGTGAGGACATCGTGAAGATGGAATTTCCTGGTAGCAGTTTGAGGTTACAGGAATGCGGCATTGACAGACAGAATTTCAATTTTTTACAACTGTCATACAAAGAAAGCCAAATAAAATTTACCTTAAACCTATGTTTATGGATTATCTCCTATCTTAAGTCAGGATTTTACAAGGTGTGGGGGTGAAGGAATAGCAAGGGGAGAAGGAATTGGAAGAAGATTCCAAGTCAGCAACTCAGGACTAGTTAGGCAGCCCTGACTCTCAGGCGTGCAGACGACTGTCTTGACTTTACTAACCTGGAGTTTGGTAAAGGCAATATTTCATTTAATACTTCAAATTCAGGTATATCTGTCGTTTCCTAAAAGGAAAGAATGAATATTAAAAGTTATAATTATAAGCCATTAGCAATGTGATCCTAGAAAATATATATGTATATACATATATATGTTTAAAATAGTTTTAATACCTGCACATAGAACAAACAACAAAAAGCATAAAAGGGTATAGAATGAAAAGCTGGTTGCCCTGTACTCCTTTATATGTATTTGTGTGTGTGTATGTGTGTACATCTATCTACCTATCACCTATCTATAAAATATATATTTGTCCACCTATCTAGTTTTTACACACATGGTACTATACATACTATCTTTACCTTTTTATCTTTGTTGTGTGTGTGTATATATATAAATATATATATATATATATGTATATTGGAGATACTGCAGTAATATCTCATTCTTTTTTATTACTAACAGTTTTGTTTAGAAATAATTC